CATTCTTGTCAGCACTCGCCGGAGGATCCTTCAGAATTGCAGGGTTTACCGGCTTGTCGAGTTCTGTGGCACTTATCATAGGCTGGTTGTGGCTATCCTACGGGTCCACTTCAAAACTCTCCAGTGGAACTCTAGGGTGTTTCACTTGGACAGATTGAGGGGAAAGGAGTATGCCGGAGGTTCGCCACGGAAGTCTCTGATCGGTTCACAGAACTTGAAAACCTGACGAACCTAGTTGCTCTGTAGGAGTCCTTCCAGCGCGAAACACTGGAAGCAGCGCAGGACCCATTGGCGAACGCCCAAACACGTGTAGCATGGCTCGGCTGAATGGTAATCAGAACTTGCGCCGTTCTTTGGTGCGTAGGGCTCGGACATTACCGAGAAGGGACAAGAAACAGTTCATTAGGAACCTTGCTGAGGAGGTTGAAGGCCATTTCCTGGTAAATGACCTTCGTCCTGTCTACTAAGCCCTGAGAAAACTGAACTCTAAACCCTCTCGCAAATGACTGCAGTCCGCTCACTGGATGGACAGATTATCTCAGATCATGTTGGGGTTCGTGAACATATTTATTTTGAGCAGCTGTACCAGGTAGACCCTCCAACAGTTAATTTGGAAGCAAGTGGCATCACAATACCTGTGCCGTACCCACTCATCAGCGAGGAACCTCCTACCTTAACCCAATGTCGACGGGCATGACGTGTACGTACATGCTATGCCCACTGTGAGCTACTTGTTTGATTGTTTTAACACATGGATAGTGAATTTCAAAGCTGAAGGGTGGGAAAGCATTTGTGATACCCCTGCTGAACTGCTAAATGCTGGGGGTGAATCTATGGAACGGGGCTTGCATGCAGTCTTGACTGCCATCTGACAGTCTGGTTCCATTCCCCCTGACCTGTTGAGGGGCGTGGCCATCCCTCTCTGGAAGGGGAAAGAGGATCGATGGGACTATAGCAACTACCGTGGCATCACACTGCCAGTATACCAGCCAAGGTTTTCGCCGACATTCTTCTGAAACGGATCCGCGACAACCTACTAAGGCACCAGAGACCGGAGCAGTCTGGATTCACTCTTGACAAGTCCATAATAGACCGTATCCTAGCGCTTCGAGTCATTGTGGAACGTCGTTGTGAGTTCGGTCGTGGGTTGCTCGCAGCCTACATCGACCTCAAGAAGGCGTTTGACTCGGTTCATCGAGAATCGCTATGGGAGATCCTAAAACTAGGGGGAATTCCGACACAGATTATTGGTCTAATACCAAACCTTTATACCGGTACTGAAAGTGCTGTAAAGTATAGTGGAGGCCTGTTGATCTTCTTCAGGGGTGAGGTAAGGCTGTGTCCTTGCACCAACACTTTTCAACACTTGTATGGACTGGATAATGGGCAGAGCTACTAGCCAAAGTTATTGTGGAGCAACACTGGGCAATATCAGTCACAGACCTTGATTTTGTCGACGATGTTGCTATCCTATCTGAGTCTCTGGAATCACTGGTGGCAGCTCTTGATGCATTTAGCATTGGCGCGAAGCCCTTGGGCCTAGAGGTCTCCTGGATCAAGACCAAGACTTTGGGGGCCTGTTAGGGGAACCCGTTCTGTTGATACTTGCTTGCGGCGAGGACGTTGAACTCGGTCAACAAGAGCATTTGGAGATGTCGGTACCTATGCAGAAGGACCAAGCTGCGTGTCTTCAAGGCCTTGAAACTTCTAGTTTTGTATGGAAAAGAATCTAATGCCTTGTAGTCTCGTCTTGATGCTTTTTGTAACAAGTCCCAACGCCGGATCATGGGATACAGTTGGCAGGACCATGTGTCCAACCGACGGCTACACCGTGAGACTAGCATGGGACCTGTTACTTGCATAATCCAACTCAGGCTATATGGGAACCTAGCTCGTTTGCCTGTGGATGACCTTGCCCATCAAGTTGTCTCTTTGCGAGGCAATCCTGGGTGGAGGAGGCTCGTGGAACAGCCTAGGAGGCTATGGCTTGGTTAGAGTTACAGATGGACCGAGAGTCTGCCTCGAGACTCGCCATAAGTCGGGAATCGAAGGGTGGATGAGGCCATGCGCCCCCGTCAGCGTTAGTCCCCTGATTATGATGATGACAACACAACACAACACAGACAAATATTTTTTCCCCACACAGGATAATAAGGAAATACCTGAAGAAAACACTCTACCGTATTGATACTATGGTAGAAAAACCCACAATGTAATAAACTAGATTTATTGAAAGTGAAAATGAGACGACAGTTTCAGACCTGAGGATGGAATCCAGGTGGATTCCGAAACTGTTGTCTCATTTTCATTTTCAATAAATCTAGTTTTTTACACTGTGGGTTTTTCTACCAAGGAAATACCTCTATAGTTCAATGGGACAGAGACAGAGACCGAGAATCGGAAATATAGAATCTACATAAGTCTCCCTACGCCACAGGTTTTCTTTGGACGCCGGTCACTTACACTCCAGATCCTCCAAAAAGCTGTTTACATTGTGTTGGTGTGACAGTCAAAGCCGGGAGGAGACTTCAGCTCACACCATCATGAAGTCCGTTTTTATGGTGGCGGAAAAGCCGTCGCTGGCACAGTCTTTAGCTGAGATATTAAGTAACAAGAAGTGCAACTCAAGAAAAGGTGATATGTGTTGAAATATGTTGCGAATTACGTTATCAGAAGGAGTTATTTGTGTGTCTGAGACGCGTGGCATGGTTATTTTTTTTTATGTTTATTGATATACAGCGTTATTTTATATTGGGGGAACCGTGTTATTATTATTTTTTGTTTATGTATTATAATGTGTAACAGTCATTCAGTCAATAAGCTTCGTATTCTTTGACTAATGCTACCAAACACTAGCATGCAATTGAAGGTCACAATGCAGTGATGATTGGAATGTGGGTGTGTGACTGTATTAACTGCGTAAGATATTAGGTGCTTGTATTCATAGTTTGGTCTGAAAAAAGATGCATTCAGACGAAGTTTAGGGTATCATGTCTTTTAATGTTGTTGCTTACAATCTAAAGTTGCTAAGTTTTATCTGTATGTGTAATAAGTAACTGGTAAAGTAAGGTGTGTCTTGGGTATGTTTTACTTAGTAATATGTATGATATGATATATGTCTGTAGGTTTCCCTTTCTGGTCATCAAAGAGAGTTCTAGTATTATTGCAAATGATACCTTATATTGAAACTGAAGGGTAAATTTCAGGTTTCAATCAGCCTCAAACTTTTGAAACTAGTTTTTCTTAAAAAGGCTCTCTGACACTTGTGTGTCAAATAACTTCATTATGTTTCACTTGCAATGGAAGTACATAGAAGATAAGTTTCTTAGATTTATTCACTCTGTTGTTTTCATATATTATTTACCCAATAAAAGATGACAAGTTAAAACTTAACCATTACTATTTCCCACACAAAGTGATAAAAATTATCTTAGAATGTTATGTTCTGTTAGAAAGCAAGATCAGATTCTTCTGTTGGTAATGGCAAAGTTTCAACCAGTCATCTTTTATAAGCCAAATAATATATGCAAATGATAGAGCAAGTAAATCTAAGGAATTTGTCTTGTATGTATCTTTACCTGGAAGTAGATGACATAGAAATTATCACAAGGAGTTGATCTGGAAAGGTTGGTACTTGTTGTTTTCAAAGCTTGGAAGAGATGTAGAAATGACTAGGGCCTTATAGATCATTCATAGTGTCATAATTGTGCTTTACTCTGAAGGACTATCAAGAGCTGAAATATCAAGAAGATTTGATGCTAACTATGTCCCTGTGGATCTAGGGACACCAAAAAATTGTATCCATCAGAAACATGGCCAGAAGTGGGCACCCTAGATACACAACGGAGGAAGATCAAGTTAACCCATTGGATCTGGTTGTGGCATGGCAATCAAATCACAAAAAATCTGGGCATTAGGCTTATGTGAGCGGCTGCTCTGCCGGGTGACTGCTTGTAGCCCAGGCTCATGCGAACACCTGTGTGCGGTGACAAGACTCTATGACTCCTTTTTGCAGAGTTATTTATTCTTTTTAGCCTTTTGGCCATTTTCCAAAGTCCATATTTGCCATATGATTTGCATTATCAGATTAATGCAAAATTGAGACTGGTATGCAAGTCTTTTTCATCACCCCAGCCAGATTTTCGTGTGACAGCATTTTCATGTCACCCGCCTCTCGACCCGGATTTTTTCATTATATGATGGGCACATCACCCGGATCCAACTGGTTAATGTGCTATATGAAAAATAAATAGGAAGCTGGCATTGAAGTGCGTAAATATTACAAGCTAATGAAAACCATTTAATATTCATTGGCAACATCCCTCACATCTAACTTGGTTTGAGAGGGGGGTGTGACTGGTAGCTACATCCCCATACTGTAAGCCATTTTCTTTTTTAGTTATTTATTATTATTATTATTTTTTTGAAGCAGGCCATAACTACTGCAAGGGATGCATATCATTTTTGTTCTGCTGGTAACATCCAGCAGGATTTTACATTACACTACAGCACACAGACTCAAAAACTGCTGGATGTTGGAGTGAATGCACAGTGGTGGGGTCTGGGAGTTGATGGAAGTCAGGCCCAGCAGATTTATGGTGTGTGCCTACTTGGAAATCCTGGACAAGGTGTTTCTACTATCTGTGAGGCCATGGTGTTCCCCGAGTGGAGCTATTTTACCTCATCCAGGAAAACAGCCCCATCCACATGATCAGCGTCATGAAGGCATGGTTTCAGCAGTACCCTAAGATTATGCTCTGCCACATCCACCCATATTGGAAATCTCAGTTCCATTGAGAATGTCTGAGCAGCCATGGGCAAGGACTCCCCCCCCCCCCCCAAGATCGTACCTGTGATTGTCATATTGCCATTACCCAAAAAGTTCTGGCTTGAAAGCAATTGCTCTCTGCAGACAGATGCCATACTCCCTAGGCTTGCCAGCATTAGCCAAACTGGTGGCGGTAACACAAAATATTAAATATATTAAACATTCTAAAACCTTTAAAATTTCCTATTCAGTTTTCTTGAATTATCAGACAACATTGGCATTACCATAGAATTCATTTAGGATTTAAATTACTTGGATCATACATAATATTATGTGAGCAGGTTACCAATATCAGGTCACGTTCACAGTGTTTTTGTTATCATATCATATTGTTAAGTCAGAAAGTGTAAAGATACTTTCTTTAGGGAGTGTACGTTTTTTGACACACAAGTGTTAGAGAGCTGAAAAGAAAATTTAAGACTAGTTGAAACCTGAAATTTACGAAAGACATGCCATGGATGAATAGTCATAAAATTTCTCATTCTGTTATTTACAAGTAAATTTTATCTTGTGCCATATGGCACATGGGAAGCTAAAACTATTTCCATTCTAAAACATTCTTCTTCTACACCATTTTTGGTATTTGTTTTCACACCCCTTTCAGACTAAGTCTCTATTCTTCTATCCACTCCTGTGACTCTACAAACTTTGCCAACAAAAAACAAAAAAATCTTCATTACCCAGGTGCTTTGCCCTCAGACCCCCTCCCAATTGCTGTATTTCCCTATTAGGGGCTCCACCTCAATACAGTCCATGCAACATTTGTTGCAGCCTATTCTTAAAGTTTTTGATGTCACTCTTTGCCTGTGCAGATTATTTCATCTATGTGTGAGTGTAGTTTTCGTGTATCTTTATGATAGTGTTATTAGATTTTCCCAATTGTAGTATGGTCACTATGTAAATGTGTAAATGTGCATCCCATTTTGGTTAATCTTGAATGCACTCACAACCCTAGTCCAATCGGTGCTCATGAGTTTCAGCTCTGTCTTGTTGTGCATTCTGACAATGTTTGCTTGGAGGTGTTGGGGGCAGAGCCCCCCATCAACCCACCCCTAGCACAGTCCCCAAAGAGCACACCCAGCCATGGTAATTTAGACTGCTAAGTAGAGTTTGTGACGTGCACTTGTGGAGCTAATCTCTAGCAAATGCCTTGCTCTGCAAAGTTAAAATTAAGGGCAGTATCTAGGAGCTTTATGATAGTAACCCATCCAGTGAAAATAGTAGATTACTAAATTGGAGAAAATAAGAAACCAAATCGGCTCTATTGTGGCTAAGCAGTGTAGAAAGCTATTGAGAAAACTTGTGCATATGAAAGTATACCTATGTGCTGGTAGATATATCATGTTAATCTTTTCACAATTACAGATGTGATATTTTCAAGAAAGACAGAAGTCCCGTCTTTTATACATGGTGTATGGTGCACATCTCATTCATATTCTTTTTTCCAAATCTTTTCAGGTTTCAATGGAGCATGTAGTGTTCATGAGTGGACAGGCAGCTTTTGTAACCAGAGTGTTCGGTTCAAGATGACATCGGTGTGTGGTCATGTCATGTCTCTGGATTTTCCTGGAAAGTACAATAACTGGGATAGAGTTGATCCTGTAAGTAACACTGGTATTTTTTTTCAATTTTTTTTTTTAAGAACCTCATTTCATAATGAAATTGTAACAAAACAGAGGCTCTGTGTTGTATTAGAACTTGAAAATGGTGTTCATGTTGTATGACATTTTTCCTTCAGATAGAAAATCCTTTTATTTTTACAGGCCGAGTTGTTCAGGTGTCCAACAGAAAAGAAAGAAGCCACAGCCAAGCTTCGCATGCCTGAATTCTTAAACAAGGAGGCGCGAGGTTGTGATTACTTGGTGCTGTGGCTTGACTGTGATAAAGAAGGAGAGAATATTTGCTTTGAGGTTATTTCATGTGTAGAAAGTTCCATGAACAGGGCTTACAGAGAGCAGGTGTGTTGTTTATTTGTTTGTAGTTTATATTTCTTTGAATGCAAGGAGCAATTTGACTGAGACTTATGATTTAGAAAAAATATCTGATATTATTTTAAAACAATGGACATTAGGCAGGTATGATAATACTGAAATATTTGTTTATATAAGTATTCATTGTATTGCTTACATATTCCTTAACATAAATTTAATGATAAATCTCATAATTTAGACAAATACAACATACACACCACATACATACAAGGTATTAATGTGAGAAATATACTTATAGCAAGTGAAATCTAGAATTTCATCTTGACTCTTCTGGTTAGTTTTAACATTTTGATACAACAAATGGGAAAGTGTTATCCTGTTACAAGAAGGAATATATTGGTTTTGGTCAAATATTGTTAATTTTGAGGAATGTAGAGGTCTTATCTTTGGCACTGAAATTATTCTTTATTTCAACTTGATATTGAGCATTGCACTACTAAATTTGAACAGTATAAGAATTTGTCAGAACAAGATTTATAGAATCATCAGTAGGTTATGGAAACATTGATATACTTTTTAATTGTGATGATTTATTTTATGATTTTTATCTTTCAGACCATATTTCGAGCAAAGTTCTCAGCAATCACAGACCGTGATATTAAGGCTGCCATGAACTGTTTAGTAGAACCAAACGAAAATGAGTCTCGATCTGTTGATGCGAGACAGGAGCTGGATCTTCGCATTGGTTGTGCATTTACAAGATTTCAAACCAAATTTTTCCAGGTACGTATTCGCTGCTAGTAGGATTATTGTGGCGTTTGTGCTTATAGATATGTAATTTGCCATCCACTTGTGATTATCAGTTTTTATTGAAGAAATGTATTTGATTTCGCAATTTGAAACAGTTTGGCAGATTTTCTTTTTTCAAAATTTCCTTTTTATTCATATGAAATATAATACTTACAATGAAATTAATTGACATTTTCCCCATTGATAGAAAAAATTGTTGAATAATGCTTTAAATACTTTGCAGGGAAAGTATGGCAATCTAGACTCCACCTTAATCTCCTTTGGACCCTGTCAGACGCCAACTCTTGGGTTTTGTGTCGAGCGTCATGACTTCATTCAGTCCTTCAAGCCGGAAACTTACTGGGTATTGCAGGTATGGAAAGCTGAAAATAATGATAGCCTTTATTTTTTTGTAGAAGATTTTCTCTTATTTCTAGATAGAGGATAGATTCAGTAACTAATTAGGAATGGCACTTCTGGATAACCTTTAATAAGATATTTGGAAGAGAAAAAATGACCTCAGTATTGAATTATTTTTATAAATTTTATTAAGCTAAACTAAAAGTACTGTGCATTGTGTCATGTCCTCAGGTCAAAGTGGCTGTGACAGAAGAAAGGCAGATGAACTTAGAGTGGGAGAGAGTCCGAATCTTTGATAAGGACGTGGCCAACTTCTTCTTGAATCTTGTCAAGGAACAGAAAAGGGCCAAGTAAGTACATTTAGAGTATTTATGGGTGAATTTAACCATTTTCGAGAGGGATTTCTGTGTCTAGAAAGTGAATTTGATATGTTTCATCTTTATTGAGAAGATTAGTGATTATAAAGAATAAGAAAAGAAATATGATATGAAAAGATGTAACACTATTGAAGAAAAATTTAGTTTTACATTTGTTTATGTATGTCTTTGGAAAAGGTGGCACAGAAGCATGATATTACCACAAATGTAATGAAAATCCACATTATGGTTTTAGAGTAAGAAGAAATTATAACATGTGCAGGAATGTTGGTTCTGTCTAGTAATATTCCTCTTTGTTTGTGAATGCATTATGGCAATAGTACTTTTATCTTGTATATGATATGTATTGCATGTCAGACATCATGTATGACTTTATTTGATTCTAGAGTTGTGAAAGTGACCCTGGCTGAGAAGACTAAACCAAGACCTTTAGCTCTGAATACTGTTGAGTTGATGCGTATTGCCAGTTCAGGCCTTGGAATGGGTCCTCAGCATGCAATGACCATAGCTGAGAGGCTTTACACACAGGGCTACATCTCCTATCCAAGGACAGAAACTACACATTATCCTGAAAATTTTGATCTCAAGTAAGTTTATTTGAAATAGTCATTAGTACAGAATTACTATAAACATCTGTAAGCATCAAACCTTCTGATAAAACAGAAGAAGGTTCAGTTTAAGAAAGTTATAGTACAGATCCCATTTCTTTGGGGATAATGAAATATGTTCCCCTTCACACTTTCAGGGGTGCGCTGAGGATTCAGGAAGGTCACAGTGACTGGGGCAGTACTGTCCGTGAAATACTGAGAGATGGCATCCAGAAGCCTAAAAAGGGACATGATGCTGGCGACCATCCTCCCATTACACCAATGCGTTGTGCCGACAGAAACCAGTTGGATCATGATTCTTGGCGGCTATATGAGTATATAACAAAACACTTCATTGGTACTGTAAGTATTGGAGCATTGAAGATTTTTTTTTGTGTGTGTGCATGTGGTTTAGGTATGCTGTCATACCTGCAGAAGTGAGAGAGAGCTAGGGGTCATAACTACCTTTTTGATATTTGGTGTAATTGAAAACTTACAAGGTTTCTTATTTTTTGTGTGGATTGAGCCATTATAAGTGCCAGCTGTTGTGGTGACAGATTTGTGCTTCTGTTACAGCTGATGCCTGACTGCATCTACCTCAGTACAACCATCAATATTTCAATTGGAGCAGAAAACTTCAGTGTGAGTGGAAAACAGCTTCTTGACCCAGGCTTCACAAAGGTAAAAGATTTTCTTTTTTCAAAATGCTCTTTTAACCCAATGCCGACAGGGAAGATGAATAAAAAATGGGGAAAATGCTGTGCTCATTTTTTATATTTCTTTTGTGAAATGTCTCTACACATAGATGGCTCTGCCTTACCTGATTTCACCTTTCCTGAATTGGCGGGAAAATGCACTTTTTACTGGTGCTATGAATATCGATGATGTTATTTTTATTATAAACATTATAATTACTATAATGTTATAAACATTAGTAACAGGAAAATAAGATAACGTAAAATATTTTTGAAAATTAAAGAAAAGGGTGAACGGGTTAGACAGGCAGTACTCGTAATTGGCTCATTGGTGGCTTAGTACAAGTGTAGCCATCTATGTGTAAAAACAATCAAATAAGTAATCTTACAGTGGGCATGGCATGGCATGCCCGTCGGTAATGGGTTAAGATTGTTTTTGTCTTTTTAGTTTTATATTGGTGTGCTTTGGTATATTGGTGTGTTAATAATTTTAATTTTGTAAGCAAGAGCACTCATAATTTAAAAGTAGATTAATTGTTACTATATTTTGCCAAACATTAACATTATCAATTTTGAAGAAGAAAACAAATCATGCATAAGGAACAAATACAGTCTGTCTACAAAGATTTAAGGTTCTTAATTTAGATTTTAAGGAGTGATGATAAGCACAGGAGATTGGTTTTGAAATTGACCGTTATCCAAGGGACAGTAAGAAAATTATTGACTAATCTTATTTCCCCAACAGGTGATGGACTGGCTAGCTTTGCAAGATGAGGAAAAATTACCGGATGTCAAGTCTGGTGATGAATTTGCAATTTTAGAAGTAAGTAAAATTTATTTTGTTCTTCTGTAGTGTTGGAATGAATATATAACCTTCAAGTGCCCATATAATTACATTGGCCTGTTTGCTTTTTTAATTTTCTATGAAAGCCCAGAACATTGCCTTTTTTTGAAAGACTTTAAGTAAGTCTAAAGTTCTTTGAATGAAGCAGTTGCCCAAACCCATCCAAGGATGTTCATGATATAAAGTCTCACCAACAGGTTATATACAGTTTCATTGTGATTAGAAAGTGACTATTAATTTAAAAGTTAAGAAGAAATATAATGTTGCTATTGTGAAGTTCTCCATAACGTTCCTTTGCATAAGCCTGAAATGAAATAAATTATTTTTCTGCAGACACGATTATCTGAACGACAGACATCCCCACCTGATTACCTGACTGAAGCAGAATTGATCAGCCTGATGGAAAAACATGGCATTGGCACAGATGCATCAATTCCTGTACACATTAACAACATTTGTCAGCGGAACTATGTTCAAGTCTCCTCAGGACGTAGATTAGTACCAACTAGCCTTGGTATTGTGCTTGTTCATGGTTATCAGAAGGTATAACTACATTTTATTAAAATGAATTCAAACCAATAGATTTATGCAAATTAATATGATATTTGGTATAACACTTATTGTAATTGACTTCGTTATTATTATTATTATTACTTTTTTTTTTTTTTTGAGACAAAAACCTATAGAGATGCAAATTTGATGCAAATTTCCAGATTGATCCTGATTTGGTACTGCCTACAATGAGGAGTGCTGTAGAAGAACAGCTTAATCTTATTGCCTTAGGAAAAGCCGACTTTAATGCTGTTTTGCGACACACTCTAGAGATCTTCCAGTTAAAGTTCCAGTACTTCGTTAATAACATAGGAGGAATGGACGAGTTGTTTGAGGTTTCATTTTCACCGTTGTCTGCAAGTGGGAGGCCCCTATCAAGGTAATGACTGTTCCTTACTCTTTTTCTATTTCTGATAACTATTTATGATGCTTAACCCATCGCCGCCAGGGAAAATTAATAAAAAATGGGGAAAATGCTGTACTCATTTTTTATATTTTTGTGAAATGTCTCTGTACATAGATGGCTCTGCTAGTCCTGATTTCACCTTTCCTTGTATTGGTGGGGAAAATGTATTCTTACTAGTGCTATAAATATAGATGGTGTTATTTTTAACAGCAAAATAAGATAACGTTAAATATTTTCGTAAATCGATGAAAAGGTGAACGGGCGAGTCAGGCAGTACTCATAATTGGCTCACTGGTGACTTAGTACAATTGTAGCCATCTATGTGTAAAAACAATCAAACAGGTCAACTCACAGAGGGCATGGCATGTACATACATGCCATCCCCGTCGTCAAGGGGTTAATAGTTTTTTACACATAGATGGCTACACTAGTACTAAGTTACCAATGAGCAAATTACCCTTCTACTTGATTTACAAAAATATTTTATATCATCTTATTTTGCTGTTACTAGTGTTTATAACATTATAGTAATTATAATGTCTATAATAAAAATAACACCATTGATATTCAGAGCATTAGTAAACGGAAAACTTTTTCCCAGCAGTTCAAGGAAAGGTGAAAGTCACAAGGTCTACTAATTGACTCCTTTGTGGCGAAACACTATCACAGCCATCTATGTGCAGATACATTTCCCTCTCTCACACGCACACGCACACGCACACGCCACATGCCACACGCCACACGCCACACGCCACACGCCACACGCCACACACACACACGCCACACACACACACACACACACACACACACACACACACACACACACACACACACACACACACACACACACACACACACACACACACACACACACACACACACAGAGACACACAGACATACACACACACACACACATGTGTATGATGAAGATATATATGAATTTATGTGTATATATATGTATATATGTATATATATGCATTTGTATATATATATGTGTATGTGTCTGTATATATATGTATGTGTATACATATTTATATGTAATGTTAATATACATGTATATGTTCATGTATATATATATATATGTTTATATATATATGTATGTAAATGTATATGTACATGTAACCTTGTAAC